ACTATGGTTATTTTTCTTTTTCTAGGTGTTTTAAAAAAGAAGAATACATAAACAACTATATTTGCTATCCTTATCATGCGATTGAAAGTCGAAAGATAGATCTTGTTTGTTATACAATAAACTTAGTGAAGAACATTGTAAAGGAAAATTACCAAACCTAATTTGAATTTTCAATTTTATTTTGTTAATTCTATACCTATAGACTACATTCATATGGTGATTTAGGAGCTATGTGTAAACTTATACAATTTTGGTTATAAAATACTCTTGATTCATGTAGTTGCTTTCCGTTCGACAATCTTATAAAGATTCTTAGAAGTATATTAAAGAAATATAAAAGAAAAACACTGGAACAATTGGTAAGGTGCTATAATGAGAAAATTATAAACAAAATTATTATTGATGAGCACTTTAATATTATATTTAAATATAACCAAAACAAGGGACCTTTATAAACCAAATATCAAGCCCCCAATATAAAGAAATAACTTTAAATAACTATTTTTGTATTAATGTTTCTAAACTATACGATAGATCCCATACTATTTTTATTTCACTAAATATGATTATTTAAACTGCAAAAAAATTTAAAATCGATGTTTATTTTAAATAACATATTTTAGAATTAAATTAAAACTATAAAAAAAAATTAACAAATTCTAAGAAAATGTTGAAAAATAATGTGAATATAAAGAAACAATAGTAAATTTTTACTGGGTGACAATATCCTTATAACTTTCTCATGTTAAGCGATAAAAACTTTAAAATTAACTAAAAGTTTTAAATATTTAATTCTAACGGACAATTAAAATTGTTGAATAATTTTTTTATATTAATGCTTTCTACTCTTGAGTGCTCAAAATTAAAGCGTCCCATCGGAATTTTATGATTTAACTTAAAAAGAACGCTAGATTGAACTCCAAAAAACAAGAGGAACTCCTACCTTCTTACTTTAACCACTGGGGAACTGTATCAGATATTATTAAGGTTACTTCTGGTGTTCTGCAAAGCAGTAATATTTCGCCTTTATTGTTTATAATATTTACAAATGACATATATTAGACACTTTTATACTCCCAGTTCTCTTTATTTGCAGATGATCTTAGAATAAACTTAGCAATAAATTCATTTAAGATGTGTTATTCTACAACAATATTTAAATAGATTTGTACGATGGTGTAATAATAATAATGATTTGGCGGGGGGCTACAAATTTTATGCCACTTACTGTGGCACCTATAACTTTATCTATAATTGAACTGAATGAGAATAAAGGAAAGGATCTTCTGACCAAAATGCATAAACCCTAAACAGGGAGGGTTTGCCTTTGATAATCGGTGGAGTGAGTATCAAATGTATCAAATGATAATTATGATTATTAAATAAATGAACAATTAAAATTAATAATAATTCGTGTGTAATAGCAATGGCGGCTCGTGGCTTGGACGACGGGACGATCGCACTACCTACTAAAATTAATTAAAAGAAGAAAATTAATTGTATATTCATAATTTTAATTAAAAATGCAAACTATTAAATAGTAAAAGAGTTATAATACATTTTTCGTGTGTGAACTTTAAAGTTTTTTTCCTCAGTATATCCGGGTACGTATGCACACGCGAGCAGTGTTTGGACGACCAATAGCGTCGTCCGAACAATATTCTGAAACGTATATTATAAACGAGGTGTCCAATCGTGTGGGTGCGGTTACGGTTCAGCTGCAATTTTTGGGTTTTGGATGACCGGCGGCGTCGTCCATCCAGTTTAATTGCTATAACATTGTCAAAAATAAACAAATCAAAATAATTGTTTTTTTATATAGAAACCTTATGTATTGCTCTTTCATTTGATATAAATGGTTGCTGCATCGGTATTAGATGCAGTCTATTGTGTTGGGGAACGAAGTTCGAACCCCAATCATCAAAATGACTTTTTTTGTATTTTTTCTTAATTCTATTAAAAAGGAGTCAATTAAGCTTTTGGAACAGTCTACTAATTTCTTAATATTAAACATTATGTAGAGATTTACAACGAAGCGTTTCTTATGATTGTGATCATAAATACTGTCAGATATCATATTTACTTTAAAGTGAATTTTGGATTTGATCTTAAGTCGGCCACCTCTCCAGATGCGCTAGCAAAGTTCTCCGTTGTGGAGAGGCTACTGAGCATGTCTAGGGGTGGTTCACCTAGGACGGTATCCTCGAGTAAGGTACCTGTGGTAATGGGCGATGCGGTGGTAGATGAGTTTGGGTAGGAAAATTCCCTTCATCTCAAACTTGTGCAGATCTACCCAACACTCAACATCTCCGTTATCATCTTTGAGTACACCCCAACCAGTGTGGCCGTTCCTATGCCGATGACACCTGCGCCGGTACTGACTAAGAAACCAAACCTGGTGGCCCTTTTAACGGTTGATTTTTTCAACCCGACGGGACACCAATGAGTGCGAAGAGTGCTGTCGGCGGGGTTAGACCTTGCCAAGGAGTTGGCGGTCGTGATGGTGGTGTATTCCCCGCACCGTTGCGTAAAAGCCTTGTCTGTTCAGGTTAAGGACCATGGCCTCACAGTCGCAGACATCGAGTCGAGTGATGGTTACGTGGTAGCGAGGATTGATGACATCGACGTCTTGAGCTGTTACGCGCCGCCCAGCTTACCGATAGCCGGACTCCTCGAGTCTGATTCCTCCTGTCACAAGCCGAAGAGGTCCGGGCAGCGCGTAACGGCTACAGGGAACTCGTAGTAAGAAATATCAACGCCCAATTCCTGGTGTGGGGAACGGTTGGCACCAATCAGCGTGGTGAAGACCTGTTGGACTTGATACCATACCTCATGCTGATCTTGGCCAACAACTGTGGTGGACGTTACACTGGTTTCCCCGTCGCTGCACCCGTATGTGACCAGTTGTTTGGTTCTCCCGTACAGATAAAACCTCATCGACCATCGGTACATCATATATATAAATGCGTTCACAGCAACCGACCCCTGTGCAACGTGCCCTGTGCGACATTTTGTGACGAGTGAGTGAGCTGGCGTGTCGTTCTAAGAATAGACGTCCACTCATTAGATACGGGCTTACTGTTCACTCAATGGTTGGCGCCCGCAGTACAAGTTTAGTCTGGAGCCTTGGGCTTAGTGTTTTTTTTTTTGTATGTTTGTGAGTTATTTTTCCAACCCTCCGAAACAGTTCCTATACTGGGAGACGGATAACGAGGTGTCCACACCATATTGGGAATTAGATCATAATTCATTTCGGGTTTATTCACAACATGGTAGTATAAGATATATTGCGACGTTGGCCAACCTGAAATAATACCTCACAATATTTCCAGGGTAGCCAACAATTAGTTGACCGTGAAAAAAAAAATCAGGAAAATATCAGATACTAGAATGCATTCCGTTTTTAAACTTTCTTGTTTAATTTAGCTATAAATCATTTTTAATCTAATAGTTCATCATTATGTCTTAAGACTATTAATGAAATATTGATTCAAGTTAGAATAGCCTTAATAACAACTGCTAAAAAGTATTTCTAAAATAAAATTAATTTTTTCGTCTAGAATTAGATTTATTATATTGTATTATTATTCAAATAATGAACTTTGTTACAATTTATTTCTAATCTTATGCAGGTAATAATCTATTATTAGATAAAAGTATGGATGTATAAATTATTTTGAGGGTAGATAGAAAATTTTTTTTAATTTATAGCACATAGTATTAAAACATAATAACCCTACTCCTACTACTAAACGCAAATAAATTAATTTTGTTATCTACACAAGTGTACGCATTTGAAATTATTGCTAGTTTCTTTATTTTGGTATGAAAAAAAGAATTGATTAATATTGAAATAAAAATTGTATGACAATAATTTTTTTAGTAATAAACTTTTTGAAAATGAAAATCTCAATAATACTAAATATTCAAGTGTACTTTTCTATATTTATCGCTTTTTTTAATATTGAAGGAGCTCCTAATAAAAAAGCACACGTCGATATAATAGAGAAGTTATTACATCAACCCGGATGGAAAAATATAAATGATGTCGAGTATATTATTTACAGGCGCAATGTGTATAAATTGAATGATGTGATTAATAAACCTGTAACATTAAATAACTGTGACAATATTATACGTAATGCTACAATATTCCTTGGATATTCTTATGCTAATGATTTACATACAATATTCCATATATTTTACAATTTTCAAGAATATTGTTTTATGCTACTTAATTCTGGTAACATTAGTGCACAAAACTGTACAGTCAAAATTTTAGAAAAAATGATTGAATTTGTTACAATAACAAAATATATGAAAGGAGCATTATATGCTATAGAAAAATATCACAAGAGCTCTTTGAACTCCCTAAAAAAAACTCTATTTCCTTTAAGTAAAGTCCTACAAATTTACAGAAAAATGAATCGTTAAAGAAATTGAATCTTTTGGAAAACAATAAGGAGTCATTTAAAAATGCGTTATTAACTATCACGAATATTTTACAAAATAACGATTTTGAACTTAAAAAAGATTTATTATTTTGTAAAATAACAAAAATAGATTTGAGTTCTTTGTGGAATTTTTGGATAAACGAATTTAAAACATTAAACTGTCAAAGAAAAGATGAAGAACTTATCATTTTTCTAAGTGATAAAATGAGCAATTTATTCCAAAAGATAATCTGGAATAAGTATGTTACACTTGGATTTCACTTTGATTCGAACACATGTGAAACATTTTTACCTGCCCTATCTCAAACGAATGACAAGCAAGGTATAACTTTTTAAGCAATATAAATTTTTTTTGAAAGTGTTTAATTGTTAACATATATAAATATCGCAGAAAATTCTTCTAAAAATTTAATACAACACACCAATGAAGAAGATTTGTTAGAAAATGTACAACAAGAATGTAAGGTTTTGACACGTCACAATAATACACTTTTTTTTAATAAAATTAATTTTAAATAGACTAAGCAATTGTTATAATATTTTTAGATATTGCACAAAGTCCTTCTAAAAATTTGATACAACACAACAAGGATGAATATTTGATGGAAAATGTAGAACAGGAATGTAAGGTTTTAATGCGTCACTATTATACAGTTTACTTTATAATGATAAAATGTCATTAAATAGAATATGGGTAAATTATGTGGATTAAACAATTTTAATAATTTTGAACCATAACTAATTACTTGAAATTTATTTTAAGTAGCTAAATAAGATCAAACATATATATATATATATTATTATTTTGTGAACATATTTAGATATCGCAGAAAATTCTTCTAAAAGTTTGATACAACACACCAATGAAGAAGATTTGTTAGAAAATATACAACAAGAATGTAAGATTTTGATAAGTTACTATTTTACACTTTACTTTAATAAAATTAATTTTTAATGGATTAAATAATTGTTATTATTTATTTAGATGTAGCAGAGAATACTTATAAAAATTTGATACAACCCACCAATGAAAAAGATTAGATGGAAAATGTAGAACAAGAATGTAAGGTTTTGATAAGTCACTATTATAAAGTTTACATTAATAAAATTAATTTTAAATAGACTAAAGAATTGTTATAATATTTTTAGATATTGCACAAAGTCCTGCTATAAATTTAATAAGAAATAACAATTATATAGATGATTTTGAAGAGATGCTGCAAGAATGTAAAAATTGTATTATCTATTACTTAATATTTATTTTTAGTATAATTAACTTTTAATGAAACTAACAAACAAATTCATTTTTTTATTATTATATATTATATACTAAATTTTAGTTTAAATGAGTTTAAAATAGATTTAAAAATTTTTAAGGTATATTAAGAGTCCTAACAGTGTTTCTATATAGTATAGTTAGATCTATTCGAATATAATGTTAGTATTAAAAATTTTAAATCATAACTACATTACTTTAATGAAATTTATTTTAAGTAGCTAAATAAAATCAAACATATTTGATATTATTTTGTATATATTATTATCGCTGTAAATTCTTCTAAATATTTGATACAACCCACCAATGATGAAGATTTGATGGAAAATGTAGAACACGAATGTAAGGTTTTAATGCGTCACTATTATACAGTTTATTCTAATAAAATTAATTTTAAATAGACAAAACAATTGTTATAATATTTTTAGATAATGAACAAAATAATTCTATGAATACAGTAGAATTTAACAATCATATAGATATGCTTGAAAAGATGCTGCAAGAATGTCAGTTTTTGATACGTCCCTATTATACATTTTACTTTAATAAAATGACTTTTAAAGNTTGATACGTCCCTATTATACATTTTACTTTAATAAAATGAATTTTAAAGAGACTAAAAAATTGTTATTATATTTTTAGATATCGCAGAGAATTCTTCTAAAAATTTGATACAACCCACCAATGAAAAAGATTTGATGGAAAATGTACAACAAGAATATATGGTTTTATGCGTCGCTATTATACCATTNGTAAGGTTTTTGATACATCATTATTATACCTTTATTTTTAATAAAATGACTTTTAAAGTGACTGAATAATTGTTATTATATTTTTAGATATCGCAGAGAATTCTTCTAAAAATTTGATACAACCCACCAATGAAAAAGATTTGATGGAAAATGTACAACAAGAATATATGGTTTTATGCGTCGCTATTATACCATTATTTTTAATAAAATGACTTTTAAAGTGACTGAATAATTCATATTATATTTTTAGATATTGCACAAAATTCTTCTAAGAATTTGGTACGAAATAACATTGATATAGATGAGCTTGAAGAGATGCTATAAAAATGTAAAAATTGTATTATCTACTACTGAATATTTATTGTTAGTTTAAATAAATTTTTAGTGAAGCTAACAAACAAATTCATTTTATTATTTTGATTATACACTATTAAAAATTAAATTTTAATTTAAATGAGTTTGAAATATATTTAAAAATTGTTAACTCATACCTTGAGTCCGAACAGTTGGTTATGCTGTTCTTAAACAGAGAAATGCTGTCTCTATATAGAATAGTTAGATTTAATCGACTACAATGTCATTATTACACAAAACGACTGGTTATTTTCGATTGATAATAACACTTATGATTTCTCAGATTACTCCATTGCTCATAATTTTTTTTTTGTCATTGAATGGAATATGGGAAAATTATGAGGATTAAACAGAATTAAAAATTTTAAGCCAGAACTAGTTTACTTTATTGAAGTTTATTTTAAGTAGCTAAATAAGATGAAACATATTTGATATTATTATTTTGTTAACTTTTATTTATTCATTTATTTATTTAGTTTACGGGATGTATCCCTTTTTTTACAAACATACAATGTTTACATATTAACTAAATTAAGAGAATGATACAAAAATACATAAAAAAAAACAAATAACAAAAGACAAAATCAAAAATATTTACAACAAATAAATCGATTTATGAATATGATATTGCAAAGCCATACAAATATTATTATAATATTAAATTAGGATCTGCATTAGCACTTCTAAGTAACCGGTGGAAGGGTTCGTTCATTAGGTAGTTCGTGGAGGCATGCATGACTCGAAAAGGTGCATTCGACCTGGTATTAATCTGCGAAACCCTAAATGGGATCAGAGATAATTGCGCAGGACATTCTATCTTCCCATCAAGCAAACCCCCGAGAAACCTAGAGCCCGCAATACTACGCCTCGATGACAGTGTGGAAAGGCCTAAATTATTTGCCACGCGGCTATAATNGCCTAAATTATTTGCCACGGGGCTATAATTATAGAGTGGACATGGTAAACCCAGCGCCCGCCAAGCAAAATATAGAAATTTATTCTGAACCCTTTCTAACTAGCGACAGTTCTAATATAGGGCGGACCAATGCTCAAAACAACATTTTTATTGTCTTTTCAAGCTTGAACTCTCTGGTTAATCTTATAAGTACACCAAACATTTTGAAGGCTTTACAGTAGTCATGTTGGATGTGAGCGCTGGGGTCAAGATTGTGACTGCATTTAAATCCAAGGTCTATAATATTGTTAGATGCGCGAGAGATTTTTTCGCTACTAAGGCGATATGGGAAAGTTATCGGAGAGTGATTACTAGAAAATGTAAAAGTTTTGCATTTGGATAGATTTAAAGTTAAACTCAACTTAGTGAACCAGTCAACAAATTTATCTAGGACTGTTTGGAGCCTTATACAGACACTAGGATATTGAATTTGCATAAATATTTTATTTAGATATTTGCGATATCTAATGATATCTAATGACGCGCTCCAACCGACGGCCGCGGGACCCGGAGTCTCCGGACCCGAGGGAGGCGCTGAGGTTGGCCCGCAAAGAGCTGAAGCTCGCCATCAGGCGGGCCAAAGCGAAGTGCTGGGCCGAACTCGTGAAGTCGGTGGACCACGACCCGTGGGGGAAACCCTATCGGGTCGTCATGCGGAAACTCCGCGGCCCACCGGCTTCCGGTCAGCTAGAGGCGGAAGTGCTGGAAAGGGCGGTCGACACGCTCTTTCCGACACATCCGCTCCTGCCTCCCTCGGCATTCCGTCGGAATTCCGTCGGACGACGGGTCGGTGGAGGAATTCACCGCCCAAGAGGTGGCCGACGCGGTGGCGCGGGTGCGGGGCCGGAATACAGTTCCCGGACCCGACGCGATTCCAAACCGTGTGTGGGGGTTGGTCCACGACCTCGCCCCGGAATGAATACGCGCCGTCGCTAACCGCTGCCTCGCGGAGGGTGAATTCCCCACGAGGTGGAAGAAGGCCAGGCTGGTGCTTCTGAGGAAGGGTGACAAGCCCGAGGGTCTCCCCTCGTCGTACCGACCGCTGTGCATGTTGGACGACCTGGGGAAGATCCTCGAGCGGCTGCTCGTCACCCGGATCGAAGCCCACCTGGCCTCAGTAGGGGGACTGGCCGAGGGCCAGTTCGGCTTTAGGAGAGGGAGGTCGACGGACGACGCGGCCTCCCTCTTTAGGGACCTGGCCCTCANCGGGAGACCACCGTATAAATCATCCCAAGGAATAGCAATAACATGAAATCTTCTAAAGTGAAATATTCCGGAGGTAAAATAGTCCCCCGATCGGATCTCCGGGTGGGGACTACTGGAGAAGAAGGAAATGTTAAGAATTGGAGAAGAATAGCTACTTGGAACGTTAGAACTATGTTGCAATGCGGAAAACTAGAAAACTTGAAAATAGAAATGGAAAGAATGAAGATTGATATCCTTGGCCTATCAGAAATGAGATGGCCAAGAGCTGGAGATCTATGGAGTGGGGAATATAGGTTGATACACACAGGAACAGCGGAAAATAACCCAGGAATTGGAGGGGTAGGCATAATAATGAGTAAGGCTATTGGGATAAAAGTTAAAGGATTTGTACAGTACAATGAAAGAAAAATATTAGTCAAAATCGAAACGAAACCTAAGGATACAATCATAGTCCAAGTTTACATGCCTACTTCTAATAGCAGTGAGAAGGAAATGGAAGAAGTCTACGAAGGAATAGAAAAAGTCATTGAAAAAGTCAAAGGAGATGAAAATCTTATCATTATGGGTGATTGGAACGCTGTAGTAGGAAAAGAAAGCCTAGGGCACATAATAGGAAATTATGGTCTAGGAAACCGAAATGAAAGAGGAGACAGATTAATAGATTTCTGTTCAAAACACAAATTATTAATAACAAATACCTACTTCAATCACCATCCAAGAAGAAGATATACATGGAAAATGCCGGGAGACATAGGTAGATATCAAATAGATTATATTATGGTCAAGGAGAGATTTAGAAACCAAGTAAAAGACTGCAGAAGCTACCCAGGAGCAGACATAGATAGTGACCATAACTTATTAATGATGAAAAGTAACCTAAAGCTCAAGAAAATAGTATCAACAAGAAAAAATGATCGATGGCAAATAAATAAATTAAAAGAAGAAAAGGCAAATGATAAGTTTAAAGAACTTACGAACAATATAAATATAAATGAGAGAACCGATATAAACTATAGGTGGGGTATTATAAAGAGCACAGTGACAGAAGCAGCATCAAAAACTCTGAAAGAAAATAAAAAGACAGTACCTAGGAAAGAATGGATAACAACAGAGATAGCAAGTATGATAGAAGAAAGAAGAAAGCTTAAGAATGGAACTACTCTTGAAAGTCAGCGGAAATACAGAGAACTAAGAAATCGTGTAATACGAAAGTCAAAAGAAGCAAAGGAAATATTTTTAGAGGAAAAGTGCAAAGAAATAGAGATACAAATGAGGAATGGTAGCAGAGATGCAGCGTATAAATCAGTTAAAAATTTTTTTACCGATTATAAACCAAAAAGGGGGGCAATAGAGGATAACAACGGAGTAATTATTTACGAGGACAAACATAAAGGTAACATATGGAAGAAGTATCTAGAACAGCTATATGAGGGACCAGAACTCACGGGACAAGAAATAGAGCATGAAGAA